AGAGATTTCGGATAAATATTGAAGCAAAATCTAAGCCATCAATGCCTTTTTCACCTCTTAATGAATTGTTTATTTTATGCGAAGTGTCAAAAAATTATTCTTATAAAACTTCAAGTTTATCATAACTGTTTCCTCACTTATTCCCCCTCTCATTTTTGTTATTTCTTTTCTCTCTCTTTAAACTTCTGATTCTTTCCACCTTTGACCTCTTTCCTTTATTTTTTACGTTCACCATCATACGCATTTTCTAACAATAAATTATATTAATGAAAAAATTTGGATAAATAATAAATCAAAATTTCATACGGTAGGAACTTTAAAAAAAAAGTTCACTCGAAAGAAATAGAAATCATAGAATTAACAAACTAATACGAAACCATAGAAAAAAAGTTTAGTCGTGAAAAGTTTCATTCAAATAAATAATTTATTTAATTCGCTTCTTTTATTTATTCAGTTCATAAGAAAATTTTCAATTTGATTTTATCAAATTTTGCATTTTCCATTATTGTTAGCTTCCGTTAATTTTATTTTCGAACATTTTTTTTTAAAGTAAAAGCAAGATATTGGTGTCACTTTGTTCAAATGATAAATAATTTAAAACACAATTGACTTGGACAAGTATCAATTACTGGCTTGGACAGGTATCAATTAAGTGTGTGAAATATTTACCTGACCAAAAAGTATAAAAAATTGAAGTTAAAAGTGGAAATCTTGATCTCATAATAATGAGAATGGAGTCTTAAAGCTGTAATATAATTCTTCAAATTACTTTAATTAAAGGATGCGAGAAATTAGCACCTGCCATTTACCTAATATATCTGAGTTATACTAACTTCACTCTCTTTCTATGCTTTACTCCCTCCGCTTCCATTTATTTCGATCAGACAATTACATTATATTCACTAATATTAATTACAAAATCATTTGAATTTAATTTTAGAGACCAAAGTTAGATTTGGGAAAAATGACAAATTAAGCAAAAAAGTTTAAATTATCAAAAGTTATTCCCTCATTCAATGTAGTATATTCAAGTAAGTGCAAAATTAAAAGTTGCAAGTATCTTAACGGTTCAAAAATGGAAATCCTGTTTTGTATTGTTGTTGAAATAGAAAATTTGAAAAAAGAATTTAATAAATTTCAGAAAGGAAACTAAGAAAATTAATATTTCTTAACTCATTTCACAAATGGATTTTTCCTATTATTAAATTTCTAAAATTTGGAATAATCTTCAATTTTTAGCTGAACATTTGCTACTTTTTTCATAGCTTTTAATCCTAAAATAACCAATTCATAATAAAAATTTGTAGTAAATAATGAAATAAATCATTATGAATAGTTATAATGTAAAGATTCAGATCCAATAAATTGTAACTAAAAGAAAAAAATAAAAAATAATAATTAAATATTCCACAGCTTCTAGTCTTGGTATCAAATGTAAGTTGAAAAAAGAAGAAGAAAGAAGAGAGAAGATGAAATAAATAAATTAAGGAGAAATCTCTCTATGGATTTAATCTTATTGAAAGATCACATACATACACCACACACATACATACACATATATGCACACACACACATGCACACACATGCATACACATACACACATACATGCACACACATTGTGTATTTTAAATCATGGAAAAATTTAAGGAAGAAGATTGAAATGCTAAATGCAAGACAACTGATTACACCGCTGCTGAGCAGAAGTATTATCATCACCAACATCAACATCATATATCTTTGGATATCAATGGTTACAATTGAATTTACATATTGACCAGTCTAATTTCATTTAGCAATTCAATTTCTCAAGTATTTATGGGTTGTTCAATACGAACTGATTTATATATATATGATGATATATGTTTAGCTAATTTCTTTTTCTTACTTTAGATGATTGTATATTTGAATCAATTTTATCAGTTTTGAAAATATATAATAAATTCTACATGAAAAATTTTTATATTCTATAGGAAATTTAAATGAATTATTTCAAAATTTTTATATTAATTTAAAATTTAGTTTAAAAGAAAAATAAAATTTATACATTTGAAATTTAACAATTTTTTTTAGCACCTAAAGTAAATGAAGCATTTATAGAGCTGAAATGATTTTGAAATGAAAATTGCGGACAAACATAGAAACATTAATACATCTTCTCTCTCCCTCTCTCTCTTTCGTC